ACGCCATTCCTAGGACTGCTGTAAGGATCACTGTCTCGCCAATAAAGTGTCTTGGTGTAGACTGATCGTGCCCCTCAAACCGAACCGATGTAAGTAGTAGTAAGGTGCTTTGTTTGGATTCTTGCAGGTTGATTTGCATCCGTCATTTGGTCCCCACTAATGCTAGTTTACTTCTAACACCGTCGTGGCTTTAAAGTGGACAAGACTTTGAGCTAGCGCTCATTATCGGGTCCCCAGTGGCAACCTCCATTCCTCACATGAATCGCACTCCTTATTACCGCATCAGAGGGGATGAAGATTACCCCCCTAAATAAGTTTGCCTAACTGCCATTGGTGACACTGAGAGGGGCGCTATCTAAGATCTCAAAATTGATGAGGCGATCAAACGACTGCTCTTTTACCAATCGCCCTAATCACGTGAGCACCGCATCAGCAGATTTGTCACTAAGTCTAACATCTCGCAGTTGGGTCGACTTGCTCACCCTTGCAAATTTCCACATCAACACCAGCTGTTTGTGCTTCTGCTGGTGCTGTGGTACTGGTGGTGGTGATGATGATGGTGATGACAATGAGCGAGACCGTGAAAGGCAAATTTGAGACTGTTCATCTTACCCCATGTTCCCTCCTTGCGTGTCGCAGTTAGGTCGCCGACCTCGTGCACACAAGAAGTGCAGCACTGGAGGATGACCACCACACTCCACCTTTGAGACTAAAATTGAAGGGAGGAAGGAGGGAAGGAGAAGCAGCTCTTCGCATTGAGCAGCACAATTTCCTCACCATCCTGCTACTTTACGACAAGGATCACCCGAGTTCGACGTGGCTACCAGTTGATTTCACACGATGGAGAGGTAATTGACCACTTTTTGACCAACTCGTCAAGAGTGTACGTCTACACGCCAATATCTGCCTATGCATTTGGGGATGTCAACAGGTCACGTCAATGCCAGCGGGAGAAGAGAACATTCGATCGCAGTGTCATGGTCGGCGATTGGAAATGTTGGCAGTGATGGTTGAGGGAGGTGGATTGCAGGAATGTGTCATGGTGATCGGGGAGATGGGAGCTGATGCGACAGTTGTGACTGCTGGAGCAGGGCAGATGGAGGTCGCTTTCGGTGGTGGATGCGCGATGTCAACAGCAGTAGCAGAATGTGAGGCAAAAGCGCATTCCAAAAGCGCCCGCCACGGCATGCTGCAGTCATTATTCGGTCATCAAACACCGCAATTACGCCCCTGGTCTCGTGACCCTTCTGTAAGCCAGAAATAAATCCACTTCCACGTTTGCATATCATATACCGTCTTCAGGTCAACTTGGACTCCACTTTGCAATACCAATCCGAATCGAGCTAAAATACTTAACACGGCATACGGTACAGCAGGCAATTGAATACACTTGATCCTACACAAGATAGGAATAAATCCCCTCCCTTTCTGCCTCCCAAAATAGGCGCGCCACAGTGTAGTCAAAATTTTAATGCATCTTGAATCATGGCGAATGCGAGTGAAATACGTTGGGTAATTGCGTTTCTCATGCATGGACACGGCTAAGTGCATGAGACGTTCTGGAGGCAAGCACTGGGAAGTGCAGACGATACATTGCGCAGTCATGATGGACGTTTGCCTGCCTTTCAAACCGAGAAGCCCTTCTCATCCTCTGCACCCCTCTTCAACGTCTTGCATCATATTTGTCCTTTTATATCAGATTAAACGAAATGCCTTTGTTCACTTCATGTCTGGAGGTTCCATCTCAACACTCATTGCATTCCAAGTCACTTGTCCAGCTCGTATGCTACGCCTGAGCAGAAACTCTCATCGCATCCATATCCTTGACACAACACAACAGAGCATCCTACACGTCTTAACAGCTATCCGTGGAGAGGGAGGAGACGTCGCAAGGCACCATTCCATCTTCTTAGGTAATTACAACTGCAATACGTTGGTTGCTTAACTCCTAATTTTGGTAGAGGAGCCACCTTCGATCTCCCCCATTGTACCTTCTTCGAGTGGACTTGCCTCTGGGCTGTTACGGAAGTTCCAACCTCTTCTCCATTCCGACGGTACATACACTGACCCCCTTTTTTCTTCTGCCATCTTCAGAGAAGTGACAAAGCACTGCACAACTCCACTCACCACCCAGTTCTCTCATTATGTATGGATGCTTCGTTTCTAAGGTGAACGAACTCGAACAAGCATT